GACAACATGGTCACACAAAATAATGCATGCATGCCATTGCTGTTTACATGCATGCATGGCTTCATATAAATGGCATGCGGTTTGCAAGCACAGAGGGTCAAATTGGCACCACTAGACATGTGCTCACGGTGACTTGACACATGAAACACAGCATTTCTCTATGCTGTTTTAACCTTCTGCCGCTAAGGATGGCGCTTGATGTTACGTAGAAGGCTGGTAAATGTTCTTATTTCATAGTCAAGATGTTTCCTTGGCTGTGCCTGTTGTATTTCCCACAACACTTTACAACTGGCTGTTTACTTGATGCTGCATCCACAGCTGAGATGTGCAAGGGTTCAAACATTGCTTTGCATTTTCCTGTCAATTAAATTTCATAGTCAAATTCATTGTTACTTTTCATCTCAGCTTGCTTTTATTATTGATCTAAAAGTCTTTTATATGTATTTACTCACCTTGCGTCTGGGGCAGAGGACATATGCATGCATGTAGCACAGCACATGCAGAGGTCAGAGGCTGACTCTGGAGTTAATTCTCTCCTTTCACCTTTATTTGCATTCCAAGGGTTGAAATAAGGTCACTAGGTGTAGCTGTCTTTTTGCTACTTTGTGGGTTCTTCTTTCTTCTACCTGTCTCCACCCCTTTTCTTCCACCCTTTCAACCCCCTAACTCTAGATAAGAGAGTAAAAAAGTATAGAGAGGAAAGGAAAGAGATCCTTGAGTACAGTCAGGGGCCAGAAAGGAGGTGACATTATCATTAAACCACTTCCTACTGCTTTGGGGTATTGAGTTCCTTGGGGTAAGTTTATCTTCACCATCAGGGTATCTAATTTCTTCTTGTTGTTGTTTCTTCTTTCTTCATGACTACTTAAGGAACAACAACCAACAACAAACCGACCACTCCCCTAAATAAGCAGCAACTCCCAACCTCTAGAGGCTCTAGCAAACAAGTCCCCAAAATTCCAAATGTCACACAGTCACAGAAACTATCAGTGGCTGGAAAACTCACGCCTCTGCTAGAGCAAGAGGCAGATCGGAGTCAGTTGCTGCAGACAGTCTGAAGCAGGCCCAAGTCCCACCACTGGGAGTAAAATGAAAACGTATTCTTATAATGTTTCTGTGCTTTTTAAAGAAACGAAACTACAAAATTTTCACAACTAAGTGTCCTACAAGCTCCTTTAGCACATTGAACGTTCTCCTCAGTTATTGGATTTGTGCTGTTCCTCTTTTCACATTTGTTTACTTTTTTTTCTGTGTGCATGTGTGTAGACATATGCCATGGCGTCTGTGGAGATCTCAAAAAGAAAACAAAACCCTCTCAGTACCCCAAATTTACAGATGAAGAAAAAAAGTGTTCAATGACAAGTGAGCAAAAGCAGGCTATTTTGTCAAGAAATGTGGTAAGGTGGCCTGTTTATTTTACACAGGGGCTTCTCACGGTTTGGAGAGGGAAATATGTATGAGTTTTCATAGTCTGAAAAGGTATTGTACACAAAAACACATGCTGTTAAATTCTATGTGCGTCAGGGATTGTGCTGTGGTGATAAAATAAGGAAACTGAAAAACAAATGTGTCGTCTCAACCAGAATTGTTTTGAAAATCACAACTCCAAATCTACTGTAAAGATGATTATGTGATAGCATTTTAATAGAAAATCAAAACTACTTATGTTGAGTTTACTAAGCAATATATGGAGAGTATGAAAGACACAGTACACCCTGAAAAGCATTATTCTATATTATTTCTAAAATCAGTTTGTCGTATAGCCAGTGTGACTGAAGAAATTAGAAACTCTGTGGGAAGGGTTTGAAGGGTGGAGGCAGCAGTGTTAGATTCTATGATTTTTTGATTGACGATAGTGCTGATGCTACAGATATGGCTGAGCTTGCCATTTTTATTAGCAATATTGACGACAAGTATAACATCTGCAAAGAAATGGCTTCTTTAGTGCCATTGAAACACATAACTGGGGGGCCAGTGAGATGGCTCAGCGGGTACAGACTCTTGCTGCCAAGCCTAACAACATAAATTTGAATCCATAAAACAACATGGTAGAAGGAGAGGACTAACCCTCTCCAGCTACCTTCTGACCTCCATGCCTGTGTCATGGCTCATGGAAGCACACACAGAAAAAATAGACAAATATGAAAGACAAATCATACAAGACAGCTCAGGGGTAAAAGTGGTTACCACCAAGCCTGACAGCTTATGTTCAGTTCCTGGAACTGACGTGCTTTCTGCAGAGTCATTGTCTGGTCTCCACACACATGCTGTGGCACATGCATGCTCACATGTACACATGTATATATATAGACGGACACACCCAAGATATTTATATGAAGTTTTAAAACAAACATTCTACTGATGTTCTTTATTCATCGCTAATCTGTCTGGCACAGTAGCTGTTTATACCCTAGCGGTGTCAAATAATAAAAAGAGACCTATCAAATTAATAGAAGATCCACCAAAAACTCATGTTTATAAAGTATTGTTGAACAGCACATCAAGAAACTTTGTGCATAAAAGCATTACGATGGTTAACATTGTGCAAAGTTCAGGCTGAGGAAACTGTCTTGCGCAATGACACACTTGCTTATGCAAGTTTGCTTACACGCTCCTGGGAACAGCAGAAAGGAACGTATCTTCATTTGGGTTTTGTTGCTGTCAAGAAACACCATACCAAGGCAGCTCTTATAAAGAAAAACATTTAATTGGGGCTGGCTAACAGTTTCAAGAGGTTTAGTCCATTATCATCATGGTGGGAAACATGGCGGCCTGCAGGCAGGCATGGTGCTAGAGAAGGAGCCAAGAGTTTTACATCTTGATCTGCAGGCAGCAAAAGGAGATTGTGTGTGACACTAGGTGTAGCTTGAGCATTGGAGACAATGGCCGCCCCCACAGAGACACTTTCTCCCACACAACCATACCTACTCCAACAAGGCCATAGCTATTCCAAGACCATACCTCCTAAATAGTGCCACTCCCTATGGGCCAAGCATTCAACCAAGCATAACATAATACAAAAGTTATTTAGTCTAACTTCAAAAGTCCCCATAGTCCATCATAGTCTCAACAATGTTTAAAAGCCCCAAAAGATAAAACTGTTTAAAAGTTCAAAGGCTCAATTGGGCACTGTGGCACACGCCTGTAATCCCAACACTCAGAGAGGCAGAGGCAGGCAGATCTTTGTGAGTTCAAGGCCAGCCGGTCTACAAATCAAGTAGAGGACAGCCAAGGTTACTCAGAGAAAACCTGTCTCAAAAGAAGAACAAAAACAAAACAAAACAAAGTTCAAAGTCTTTTCTGAGATCAATGCAATTTCTTAACTATAATCTCCTATAAAATTAAAATAAAAAACATCATGTATTTCCAACATATAATGGCACAGAATATGCATTATCATTCCAAAATGTGGGGAAGGGAGCATAGTGAGGAAATAATGGACCAAAGCAAGACCGAAAACCAGCTGGACAAATTCCAAACTCTGCATCTCCATGTCTGATGTCAAAATGCTCTTCGGATCACCAACACTTTTCCTCTTTGTTGACTGCAACATACCTCTCTCTCTCTTGGGCTGATTACACTCTCTGTTAGCAGCAATCCTAAGGAGGTAGCCCACAGCTCTGGCATCTCCAACCTCTTGGCTTCCAGGCTTCACCTTCACAGCTTCCACAGCAGCCTCTCCAGGCCTTCATGGAGGGACAGCCCTGCCATATGCCTATCCTCAGCAGCTTTCCTTAGATGCAGAGGGAGATCCTATAACCCCTCTCTTCTGTCCTTAATTCTAAAGCCAGAACCTCGTGGCTGAAGTTGCCGAGTTCTGCTGCTTGCTGGGAGCTGTGTTGGCCTTCCTGCTCAGAAGAAAGGGTATCTTGGAACTCAGAAGCTCAGGAACAAGTGTCCTATTGGAAGGACATCCTCTTTACCTCTTTTCCTAGTTCACCATCATGCCTCACTCACATCCTCCTTTTTCAGGCAACACCTACATTTGTGAGCAACTGTCTTCAAGAATGAAGTGCTCTAGTACTGTTAGAACCAGAATATCCTATGAGCATCTTGAGAGCACCACAGCTACTTCCTCTGAACCAGGTATTGATACCACAGTTTCTCAAACACAACATCAAGTAGCCCATTTGTTTTATGTTGCTCTCTTTTCTTTTACTTTTATAACAAGAATATGTCCAAAGCCTCAGTAAGGACTGGAGAGATGCCTCCACTGTTAAGAGTGTATATTGTGTTGGGCAGTGGTGGCATACACTTATAATCCCAGCACTCAGGAGGTAGAGGCAGGTGGGTGTCTGAGTTTGAGGCCCCATGTTTACAGAGAGGATTCCATGACAGCCAGGGCTACACAGAGAAATCCTGTCTAGGAAATCCAAAAGAAAAAAAGAAAAGAGTGTATACTACTTCAGAGTACCTGAATTCTGTTCCCAGAATAAGACACACACACACACACACACACACAGACACGTACACATAATCATACACCTATAAATATGAAAAAGGTAAAAATAAAAATAAATCTTTTCCTTTAATCAGTGAATCCCAGCCCTGGGAGATAGGCAGGCCTCCCTCTCTGTGAGCTCTATGCTGGCATGCTTTACATAGTGACAACTTGTCTCAATAAACAAACGAGTAAAAGTCACATTCCTTAAGATATCAAAAACTTGGGACCTGCCTGACAATTTTAAAAGAATCTCCACGCATGGAAAGTCTTAGACAGAATGAATTTTTAGACCTTGTACCAAGAAAAGATATTTACAAGACAGTTTGGGAGAAGATCCCCCGAGGAAGTGAGCTCAGCCCCAAAGGGTGGGACCAAGGCTTTGTGTCCCTGAGACAGCTTTCCAGAGGCCTACAGCTTCCTAAGCCTCTGAGCCTTGTTATCTCTGATCAGGGTAAAAATGACCACGGCACTATATTCTTTTTAAAATTCTTCTTCTAGGCTGTAAGCGGAAGTGACTGGCTTGTGTTTCTGCTCATTTCCTGTTTTTCATCTCACAGTGAGCTGCTCTTTTAAAGGACTATTCTTGAGCTCAGATCATATTTTGCTAATAAAATATGGATTGAAAGATGGATTGGCTTTACAGGCGAACACTCAGGTCCATTGGCTCATATGCTGTGGAGACTTTTTTCTGGCTCTGCCAAAGAGCTGACATTTTGGCACTATCAGGAAAGCCAGAAAACGCACCAGAGTGCAGTGCTATGACAGACAGGAAACGAATCCATTCTTGCCCGTCAGCCTGCTCAGTGGTAAGTCCTAACATGTGTATGTTTACATGTATGTGTGTGTGGTGTGTGTCTTGTTTGGATTTGTGTGTTTAAGTGTGTGCATATGCTTTTTGTGTCTTATATTTGTGCATCTTTGAGGATATTTGCTGTCTATAAATATTTGCGTTGGTGTATATATGTGTTCACGGTCCTTGTGTATGTATTTTGTGCATTGTGTTTGTATGTATACAGCTTGTGTATCTGTACATGTTGGATGTATGTTTGTGTGCTTACAGGCATGTTGTATGACTTCATATGTATATTTCTGTTTATTTGTATGCATGTTTACATGCATGTTTATGGCTGGGATACAATGTATTTTATGTATGTGTCATATTTGGATGTATACACATATTTACATGTGTGTATTGTTTATGTATATGTATGTGTTGTATAAGTGTATGTGTTTTCAGCTGTATAAATGACACATGTGCTGCAGGTATACATTTGCGTCTCTGTGTATTGTTTAAATGTATACATAGTGAGTGTATGGTGGGTATCATGTTTATGTTTTTTATTTAAATGTATTTCATAGAATTTAGTTTGATCGTGTTTTTCCTCTTCCCACCTTAAGGAACAAACTTCATGTTCCCTCTCACTTAAAAAAATAAAATAGAAATTTAATAAACCTGAAAATCAAAACAAACAAACAAAAAAGAATAAGAAAAAAGAAAAAAAAAGCCCACAAAACTAATTTTTCAGTTTTGAGTCCTTGCCCAGCCATAGATAGCTAACACAAAATAAACTCAATGGCATTTTTTGTTTGGAGGTTCTTTATCTCATGATGTTTTTATGGCTTCCAGTTTTGAGTTGTTATAGGACTTGTGTGTGAACATGTGTGTCTCTGCACCTACATGTGTTCTTTGTACTTCTTCTTTGCCTCCATTTCTTGTTTGCTTGCTTGTTTTGTATGATTCTGCTTTGCTTGTCTTTGTGTTATCTTATTTTATGATTATTCTTTATATACCTTTTCCACCCTAAGGAGAGGCAGAGAGGGTGTGTGTTCTGGTGAAAGGAGAGGTAGGGCACTTTTGTAAATTTCACTTTCTTTCCGAGCAATATAACAGGTTGATAATGTCTCTCATCTGGGCTGGAGATAAAGATGCCGAGCATAACCTGCATGTGTGGCAGTGTTCAGAGGAGGGACAGCGAGGTTCAGAGGATGAGCCTCTTTCCTTTGACAGTGCTGTGGGCACAGTGCTGGGTCTATAACTATTGCCCTTGGGTGATTCCTGCACTCTCTTCAGCTTCATCTGCTGGGAACTGTTTCCTGTTCAGCAACCTGTTCTCCAAAAAAGAGAGGTCAGTGAAGAAGTACTGCCTCAGTTTCCACCAATGATGAAAGGAAGGCAGGAACAGAGACTGAGGGATCTGTAGTTTGTAGGCCTGCAGTCATAGAGACAGGCGGCACAAAGGTAGCCAATGCAGTTGGAACACCTCTCGTGCCAAGAAGCAACTGACCAGATCTGAGTGAGGCTATTGGCCTCACCTGTTCCTCACTCTTCCTTGGAAACCACCAGACTTTCTTCAGCTACCTGCATTTACATGTCAAGCCAGACATTTGCTGAACATTGTATAAGCATATCACAAAGTCATCTCTTCAGGGGCTCCCACTGGCTGTTTCCTGAGATTCAGAGATGATAGAGAAATCTGCTAGTTGAGTGGAGCAGAACACCCACCAGGGATCTGGTAATGAGTCCAGATCTCCTGCACGTGGGATGAAGGGATGGATAGTTTAATCTGGCTGTGAGGGGTCTGGCCATTCCGGGAAAACTGTGGACCACACAGTTTTCTTCCCAGCCCTGTAGGGGACATCAGTCTGATAGCATCATTGTAAGTCCTTGAAAGAGAGGACAGTGTTAGCTCAGGAAGCAAGCAAGCATTGCTCTCTCATCAGAGTGGTATTGAGAGTTCCTGGCTGGGATGCTATGGCTCCAATTTGCAAAGAGAACTAAAAGTCAATCTGTAACAGTGAATCTGTTGTGACATTGGAGGAGCAGGTTTCTTCAGATTTAGGCCTAAAATTTACCAGAAAGGACACTTAGGCCCAGGCAGTGTGAGCATCCTAGCCAATGACCATGTCTCCATTGCACCCTGAGGTGCTCAGTTCTCAGCAAGAGCACTGTCTTGCACTATGAAGGTCACCATAGCTGCCACCTTCCATGCAACTGCTGAATACAACTACTCTTTTTCAGCCATGCCAATTCTCAGTGCTAAATCCTAGATGGGTTTTTCTAAGCTGAAGACCCTAAGCCATCTCCTCCCCCAGAACTTCCTGATGCTGCCCACATAAATCTTACATGATCTGAGACACAAATCAAGACCACAATGCTTCCTTCTCTTTTAACTCTTCCTCACTCTTTTTCTAGTGACCAAACTCCCCAGTCTGGGTCCCTCAATGAACCGCTCTGGACATTGTCTACCCAAACGAATTCAGTACCTCCTTTCTCTAAGACAAACAATATCTTAAACTCATGAAGGAGACCACAGTTGGTGGCTGGGTAGGGTCCCTAAAGCCTCCTCAGAGTGTATCCTATTCTTCTTCTTGACTTCTCATCAAGCAACCCCCTCCCACAAACATATGGAATAGCTTTACCCTGGAAAGAGGCAGGCAAGTGCCCCTTAAAACACAATCCATAAAATTGTATGGGCCGGAGAGATGAGTCAATGGATTAAAGTGTTTGCCTCGAGACCTTAACCACTTGGGTTTGACTCCTGGAACCCACTGGGGAAGGAGAAAAGATACTCCTAAAAGTCCTCTAACTTTACATGTGCACTATGGCACATGCAAACCACATCACACGGGCATGCATACACACACATACACAAAGTTATTTACATGTTTTAAAAATGCATTATTGTTTTCTGTAGACAGAAGAGGAAGAAAAAGAAGAAGGTGAACACAGTCCCCAGAAGAAGCCCACACGGCAGCTTCCCCGGGGCTCTGTAGAAGGATTGACAAAAGGTACGCTACTTCCCTAGAAGAGGTGAATCAGAGAAGTACAGGTGCGAACACTGGCGTGCAAAGGAACGTGAGACCACACATTGAGTGTTGGGAGGGGGAGATGAAGGCCTTCGTCACAGGGATTTAACCACTGTAGTCAAAGTAAAGCAAAAAGGCTCTTCTTTACACCTGGAAAAACTAAGGCACTGACAAGTGTGACAGACATAGGAAGTAAGAAATGCCAGCCCCCGGGAAGAGTCTTCACCTCTAAGTCCTCCCTGACGACAGGCTGGTCATGGACGAGATGATATTAACCTTTCCCCGGGCTCAGGAGGTCAGTAGTCCTTGTGTGGGTGACTCGTTGGATCTGACATCTCACACTGGTTGACAGAACCATGCAAGCAAGCAAGAAGTCATCAGTGGCCACTGGAAGGGACTGGGCTCAGCCTTGTCAGACAGTCACCGTTGCCACCTAACCTAGGGAGATGGAATGCAGGGATGCTAGAAACCTACCCCTATTTTCTTTCCAGAAGACATTTTTTTAATGTGTGTGATTCATTATATTTTAACATGATTTTTTCAACATGATTTTTTTTTCTTTATGAATTTGAAGGGCTTGGGCCATTAGAACAAAAAGTCCAGTTATTCTGCCACACAGGGCAGTCACCTATAGTAGGATGTCACCTGTAGCTTTCTTTTTTAAAAATCTCCTTTATTTGGGGTGCTTAGGCCTCTACCTCCCTTCCACCAACTGCACAACCTTAAGTAGGAGAGAGAAAAGGTGGGGAGAGGGGGTCCAGACCCCTTTACTTCTCCCAGCTATTTAGGGTCAAGAGGTTCTTTTAGGGCTCTATACCTATCTCTGTCAACCAGAGACACAGCTAGCAGGCTCCTCCACGCTGCTGTGCCCCAGAGCCTTTCTCTCTGTCTGTCTGCTCTAAACCACCGCACTGTCTCTAGTCTCTTGTCTCTCCAAACTGCTACATGCCACACGCCACATGCCAACATGGAACATCACACTGAACACCACCCAGTCTCTTTATCAGCCTCATATTTATACACGAAGAGTCCTAGACCACACCCCTCTTCATGCCGAACATGGAAGACATTACCAGCTGGCAAAAGCCATGCTCTGCAGGAGACCCGTAACAGTTGTGGACAAACAATAACCCAGATAAAATCCCACACTTGGGATAAAAACAAAAGCATATTTACAAAACTTACAAAGAAACCAAAACTTCCATTACAGTCACTGACATAGGCTAAGCCTTTTTCACTTCTCATGGAAAACAAAGTTAGTCATAACTTGAAAAATCTCCTCTCTGCATCTCATGATGCATTTAGCTTCTAAGTATGAGGTCCAGTGACTCAAACAGGAAACACTCTTTGGCCCTAACTGTGCCTTGGCTAGGCAGGCAGGAATGGACATCCGACTGTCCACACTTAATTGAAACTTCCATGAACCCACTAAAATTCATTTCTATCCCCTTTGGAAAAGCTCAAGAGAGCCAAGGTAGGTGCAGGTCAGCCTAGAGTGCAGGCATGCATACCCAAAGCCCTTGGGTGCTGAGAAGGCTGAGAACACAGAGTTTAGTTGCCTTTGGGAAGGTTAGCGCTCTGTAATCTAATATCTGTCAGTGTCTCCCATGGGGCCCACACTTGGAAATTGTCATTTGCCACTTTATATGGTTTGGGTCTTGGCACCTGCAGGTCCGGGAGAAGGGCATTTCCTTCCTAGCCTCCAGCTCCCAGTTATATTTAAAAATCTTGGCATTTGATTAACTGCTGTTTGGTTGACATCTGAGTCTTCCTTCTCAGGTGATGGCGTTGATGTCCCTCTTGGTAGGAATGTTCACCTCCACCTGTCAGGACACAGGCTGAGAATGTGAGCCTAGGGCAGACTTCAGTGACAGGTGCTGGCCTTTGTCTCTGCTGCCCTGCTCATCTTGGGACATTGTTTCTCAGCTACTCAGATGCCTCTGGTAAACAGAGAGGACAGGTTCTAACCCCATTTCCCTTTTGTAAAACTCCTCCAGGTCTGAAGGAGAAAGAGCTCACCCCAAAGAGACTGCAGCTCCTTCTGGTGGGCAAAACAGGAAGTGGGAAAAGTGCAACAGGAAATAGCATCCTGGGAAGGCAAGTATTTGAGTCCAAAATCAGTGCTAGACCAGTGACCATGACATTTCAGAAAGGGAGCAGGGAGTGGGCAGGGAAGGAGCTTGAGGTGATCGACACCCCAGACATTTTGTCACCTCAGGACCAGCCTGAGGTAACAGCTGAGAAGATCCGTGAAGTCTTGGCCTCACCAGGGCCCCATGCAGTGCTCCTGGTGATACAGGTGGGCCGGTACACCACCGAGGACCAGCAAGCCGCCAGGCACCTTCAGGAGATCCTTGGCAAAGGGATCCTGGCTTATACCATTCTGGTGTTCACCCGGAAGGAAGACCTGGCTGGGGGCTCTTTGGAAGAATATATTCAAGAGAACAACAATAAGAGCCTTGACGATCTGGATGTTGCCTGCGAGAGGCGTCATTGTGGCTTCAACAACAGGGCACGAGGGCATGAGCAGGAGGCCCAGCTGCAGGACCTTATGAAGAAAATTGAATTGATCTTGTGGGAAAATGAAGGCCATTGCCACACCACAGAACTTCCAAATATTCCCAGCAAATCAATTTAACCAAATAGCAAGGTTTGGAGGAGGCAGCCCCTCAGGAGTCCTGGCTGGAAAGGCTGTCCTAGATTCAGATGGCCTCTGAGAAGGCCTGTAGCTACGTGATGGAGAAGGCATCTATCTGAGCCCCGCTTGGCCATAAGCATGGTGTCCTTAGTCAGGGTTCTACTGCTGTGAAAAGACACTATGACCATGGCAACCCTTACAAAAGCAAGCCTTTAATTGGGGCTGTCTTATAGTTTCAGAGGTTTTGTCCATTATCATCCTGGCAGGGAGCATGGCAGCATGCAGGCAGATATGGTGCTGGAGAGGCAACTGAGAGTTCTGCCTCCAAATCTACCAGGCAGCAGGAAGAGAGACTCTGGGCTTCGAAAGGGCTGTTTGAAAAGCTCAATGCTGAGCTCCCCACCACCAAGCGACACACTTCCTCCAACAAGGCCACACCTCCTAATCCTTTCAAATAAAGCTTCTTCCTGGTGAACAAGCATTCAAATCTATGAGCCTGTGAGGGTCATTCTCAATCAAACCAACACAAGGAGCCTCTATCAGCAGCTGTGCCCTGTATCCAGCCTCTGCTGCCTGCTCCCTCTGTCTTTGAAGAGAGCTTGCTGGCCCCTAGGTCAGAGTGTTGGGTGTGGCAATGGGGTGAGGCCTCAGTTAAGGGGGGCAGCTACATTCTGTGTCCAGCTACATAGCTTCTTTGTGCTCCCCCATATATAGTTACAATCCTTGTTCTGAGAATCTCCTGTCTCAATGTTGTGTTAACATTACTCCCCAATTGTCCCCTGCTATGTCAGTAAAGAGGCTTGACAGCCAGTGACCTAGCAGCTGAGAAAATAGGGTTGGGCTTCCTGTCAGCCAGGGGAGGAGGAGGAGGGAAAGTAGGGGATTGAGCAAGATATGGGGACACAGAAATCAGCGTTTGAATTTTTACCCAGTGCACAATAACACTGCTCCTACAGAGGCCCTTCACCTGAGCCAACAACAGAGGGCAATCATATGGGACCTTTGTCCCACTGACATATTTTTATGCTCTGTGTCTATTCTCTGCTACAACCAGAGCTTCTTGACAACAGGACTGGTTCTGTCTTTTGTGTAAACTGCACAGCTGCATAGCCAAGGTAGTCAGAGTTAGTGCAGCCCCGGGGTTGCCATAAACCAGAAGGTTGTACCTTCCTTACGCATGAAGAGGGACAGGCACTGTGTCATTAAAATGGCTGCCCTGTGCAGTGTGCAGAAAACGACAATGAGACTGAAGAGAGAGGCCCAGATCTCCAGTTAGAGTTTTCTTCCCCAAAGTAAGGTATCTTAATAGGTTGTGTTCTACAACCATGTTCTAACCACTGACTTGCTTCTAAGCTTCTGAGCGACTTCTCTGCAGTGGCCACATGTGCACAATGACTAATAAAAACTTTTATGTCTTTCCTGGGGTGGCGAGCTAAGTACATTTGGGCCAAATGTAAAGGACAGACCACCATGCACATGCAAGGGTTACAACAGACCGAAGGTAGACAGGACATGGCAGAGACCCCAAGGAATCAAATCTGAGGGAGCCAACCCAGAACCATCACTTGTGTGCTGTCTCCCCTGCGTTCCACCATAAGCCCCCAATAAAGCCTTATTCTATTGGTAACCTCTTGCCTCTTTATGGTTTTTCTCTGATTTTGGAAAAGAGGCTTTAACCAATTGGTCACCACACTGGCTCTGACGTGCGTGGCAAGTTGTATGCTGGGCTATGGAAGAATGTGAATAGAAACCTAAAATTTAAAAAACGTCACTCAATTCTCTTGAACCATAACAAACAGGTCTCACCGGCACTTCTTTTTTTTTTTATCTCTCTCTCTCTCTCTCTCTCTCTGTGTGTGTGTGTGTGTGTGTGTGCGTGTGTGTGTGTGTGTAAAACAGACATCTGCTGGGTAAATGAGTACAACATATCTTCAGGGACAGCAGAAGGGGAAAGAGGCATGGTTTACCAAAGGTAACAAAGGTTCAAATGGCAACTTAGCAAGTTTAAAGGCAGCATAAAGACTTCATAGAGAACCTGTTCCCTCCAGGTCTTTCTATCTCCCCCTTCTATAAGGTTCCCTGCACTCTGCTCAAAGTTTGACTATGAGTCTAAGCATCTGCTTCAATACCTTGCTGGGTAGAGTCTTTCAGAGGCCCTATGTGGTAGGCTCCTGTCCTGTTCCCTATCTGATTCGCCTGCTCTTTGACCACCTCCCCCTGAGGGGGAAGCAGCCTTACCAGGCGACAGAAGATGACAATGCAGCCCCTCCTGATGAGATCTGATAGACTAAGATCAGAAGGAAGGAGAAGAGGACCTCCCCTCTCAGTGGACTTGGGGAGAAGCATGCGTGAAGAAGGGAGTGGAGGATGGGATCGGGAGGGGAGGAGGGAGGGGCTTATGGGGGGGATACAAAGTGAATAAAGTGTAATTAATTTAAAAAAAAAACAAGGAAATCGTGAAATTTGCAGGCAAATGGTGGAAACTAGAAAATATCATCCTAAATGAGGTAACTCAGAAACAGAAAGACACATATGGTATATACTCACGTGTAAGTGGATATTAGACATATAATAGAGGATAAACATACTAAAATCTATAGTCCTAAAGAAGCTAAACAAGAAGGAGGAAGCTAGAGAAGAGACAGAAACCTCATTCAGAAGGGCAAACAGGATTGTCACTGGTACTTCTTATGGGTCAGAATGAGTGAAATTGGGATAAGAACTGAAGAAGCCAACCTTGACCTAGAAGGAGAACCTTAACCCAGGCTATATGATGTGGGAATGTCTACATCTGTATGGACTTGGGCAGAAAGGCTGAGATGGGGCAGGCCACTCTAGTTACCTCCCATTTTTTCTTTGGGTTCCATCACCTAGTTTTAGATTTAGCTTTGGGAATATTAGAAAGCAAAGGTTGTTTTCATCCTTACAAAATTTCCTTTACCTTGATAGGATGGGGGTAAAGGGAAGGTCTCCATATATAAATGAGCTCTTCAGGAAGATCAGTTAAAAGGGTGAGCAGAGGGAAAGGAGTCTTTAAAAGAAGGGACGCTGCAAAAGAAAACTGACTTCTTACAGGTCATGTATGGTTTTCATCAGCACACAAGCATGTCTTTCTGGAGAGATGTTCCTACAGCTGCTTATCTGCAGGTCTGTGTCTTATCTCATCTGTCTGCCTGGAAAGAGGAACTCCTAACCTCAGTTGCACAGGAAAAAACATCACAAATCACTTCTTTTGGCAAAGGGCAGTAGTGGCCATGGTTTGGAATGTTTCTGGGAAGCACCTGGTAACGGATGCTGCACTTTCTTGTATTGTATTGTATTGTATTGTATTGTATTGTATTGTATTGTATTGTATTGTATTGTATTCCTTTCCACAACAGGAAACAGATTGCTTCCTCTCCCCTGGCTCCTAGCAACCAGATATGATAAATATTTTCACTTCCTTGATCCCCTGCTTCTGCCCCAAAGTAACTTCAGCACTGAGAATTAGGCACAACTAATCAGGTATCTTATCCCCAGACTGAATCATCTACCCAAAACAAGCATCTTCATGAAAGATAAGCCTTGCATTGTGTAATACTATTCCAAGGGTACAATGGATCTGTAGGTGGTGTGGATACATTCTATTACTGAGCAGGGAGGGAAAGGAGTACTGAGCAAAGAGAATATGGGCTTTAAAGTCTCACCAATGTGAAAGAGCTCATTTAGGTAATGACTACTGCAGGACACACAGACAAAATGTGAAGCAGACAGTGTGTCCTTCAGTAGACAGGACACTGTTAATGTCTAATTGTGCCAATAGTAGCCTTTCTAGGAATAAGGCTTTGAGGAAGCTTAAAGGAAGCCACTGTCAGTCAGTGGGTGCCTGGAAAGAAGTGATTTCATGTGCAACCATTGAATAATTTCATCTAAACCTGAATGACAGGTTAAAACATAAACTAGGATTATCATACCAGAAGAAAATTGAACATTTTTCTTTTTTAAATTGTTTTTTATACTTTCATAGTGCTCGCCTATTGCCTTTGTTTAAATCAGTGCATCAGTGCAGTTTGACCTATTGAGAGGCTCTGTATGGTGGTATAGGCATTCTCCAGAGTTTTGTATGGTGGTTGTAGGTACTCTCTGGAAGACAGCTTAGATAGCATGCCAGCTGCCCTGCAGTTCTCTTTGCAGGACTTATACTCAGATGGACTTTTCAGACCACACTTCTGCCCCTCTCCAGTGCTGCTCCCTATCTGTAGACTCTGAGAAGTCAACATGGAAGTCTCAGCTGAGGTAAATCAAGTCAGTTTCTCAGCTCAGGAAGCATCCATTGCAGGGCCATGGTTGGTTCTCCCCATCCATTGTAACTGGTCTAAAACTCCCTATGGCATATGGGGATTGCTTCCAGGCATATCATGTTGGCGTTGTTTGGCTACATCTCTGAGATAATTCACCTCAGTGACTTAGCAGACAAAGGACCTGATTTTGATGTGGCAAAGGGTGGCTCTGAGTCTGTTTGGGACTAAGATAAACGCCATCAGAGACATGTTTTCCTACTCAGTATTCTTTGAAAGCAACTTCTAGCTCTGAATCCCAAGGAGAAAGAGGAAGGTAGCACTGATATGCAAGAGAGCAGGGCCTTTTATTGCCAAGGCAAAGGAAGTGCAGAAACCCACAATACTTCTGCTTTGTTTTCTTGGTCATATGGCTGCCAGTAGCCACAGGAACCTGTGGAATGCAGCACTCGTGTGGGCACTCTGCTTTCTAGGCAATGGTGTAGGTCAGTTCATAAGGAAGGAACGAATGGTGGTACAATAGTACAGTCGACAGTAGGACAGTTGATGCCTATCAGGTGACTCAGCTTGGATTTTTGCTCCTCACACTAGAGCATTCTCAATCTCCCTCCCCCAGATGACTTCTTGCTATAATCCACTGTTCAAGCTAAAGTACTGTTAATTCTACATAGGAGCCAAAGTTGGATCAAGAAATAAATCCTCAGAACATGAGTCTGGTTTCAAACCACACAAGAGCTTATACCTGGCCAAAGTCCCTCAGAGACATTCTGAGTAGAGAGAACTCAACCAAATCACTGGAGCTCAAGGGATGAGCAAAACTGAACTCCACTGTGAGGTCTTAATTCCTGGAGCAACACACAGAGAGATGAAATGTGAGGCACATATGTCTTTAATGGATTCTTTTGCCTTAGCCTTTGGCTCTTTTCCTTGGGAGATGAGAGTTGCTCACATACTGAATGCCTACAGTTCTACTGTACAGATGTTACTTTAAAGTGAAGGGATCTGTGTTAGCGGATGTTAGGTTTCAAGCCTGGGACAAATGGCTGAGATGCCTGTTTAATGCTGGCTGCCAGGTTCTCCCAGCATCCTCATGTTACAGCGCCCTCATGGCTGCTGAATATGGTTTTCTTCTCTCCTCTCTTTGCCCCTCCCCACTATCCTCCCATGACCAGTTCAGTCTGGTCATGTCCATTCTGGACTCTCCCAGATGTCTCTACCTCTGCCAATGTTCTCCCACATATCTACAATAAACCTTCTCCTTCACCACACCTAGAAGCAGTTAGTTATGTCCCTTCCTTCCTTCCTTCCTTCCTTCCTTTCTTTCTTTCTTTCTTTCTTTCTTTCTTTCTTTCTTTCTTTCTTTCTTTCTTCATCTGGTGCTGAAACTGAGAACCAGTCCTGTTCCTTTTTTCATTTTTTTTATTCATCTAAAGCAATTGAAAAATCCATAACAGAAACAATTAATTCTAAACAAAATGCCCACACTAAGAAGGTTTCCATCTTTTGTTAAATTTGTGTTAATATTATACAGTTTAGAAGATAATCATTTCTATATACTTTCTGAGTGTTTTTATGAAGTGAACACTGCATTTCACAAAATATACAGTATTTGTCATGTTTATTTCCAAATACCTGGAAATTTTTGAAATATAACTTGTGGGCCCATAATGCACTTTCCAAACACATGTTTGGGTGTAGCTGGTATAGAATTTCTTCACCATTTTAGAATACCTGACCTGAAAATGAGATCCTGTGCTGGACAGAGAAAAAGGCATTTCCCTTGCTTCAACTACAGGAAAATACCAGGACATCAAAGACATGCTTCCTGGAGAACTCTGTAAGAAGAGGATACACACAAAGGACTGGGTCAAATAAGGCAGAGAGAGCATCTTTTTTGCCCACTTTATTGCTCTGCCTAGCTTGTGACTCTCTGGTCATTAATGGGAGTCCACAACAGGGGCCTGTAGCCAAAGTCTGTTTAACAATCTCCCTCTTTTGCCTACATGGGAGGAACTCCATAACAGACTGGCATAATGAGACCAGAAAAGGCAGACTGTGCCACTGCCCAAAGAAGCCCTTCCTTGGGACTCATAGAATGGAAAAAGGAAGAGAAAATGCAGGTAACTTCTGCTCACCAAGAGCCCAAGGGGGGATCAATTTGTTCTCTGCTTTTAAAAGTATAAATATGAACAGGAAATGTGGTTCAGTGAGTCCCTGGGCCTGCCCAGCAACAAGAGCAGACCCAGCCACTGCCTTTCCGGAGCAAGAGAACATTAAAAAGTTTTTCGTAGCAGAGTTGTTTCCTTTCCTCTGATGTGGTTCTAGCCACACTTCCCATCTGGCACCAGCCAAAATTACTTGCTCATTTTATAATTTTCAATCAGCCAAAGGTTTTGTTTTGTGACTTCATGGGAGGTCTTTCTTGTATAATAAACATTTAAATATTAAGAAGCCAGGTATAGTGGCACACCGGAGGCAGAGGCAGGTGGATCTCTGTGAGTTTGAGGCCAACCTGGTCTACAGAATGAGAAGGACAACCAGAGCCACACAAAGAAATGCTTTCTAGAAAAACACAAAACAAACAAAATTTAAGTATTTTCCCCCAACTCCCTAACACTGAAGCACTGCTTTGTAACATTTCTCCAATTAGCATTTGAACAAATGAGTTCCTGGGGCTTCCTCAGAGCCAGTGTAGGTGAAGCTTGCAAGATCCAAATTTTAGGGAGCAACGCTGTCTCAAGAAAGCAAGAAAACAACCACGAAAAGTAACAAGGGTCTGTGCCTAAAGGTCTCTCTACCAAGCCTGAGGACTTGAGGCTGGTCCCTGAGACCACATGGTAGAAGAGCACCAAAACCCACAAGTTGCCCTCTGATGTCGGCGTCCCCATGCCCCATGTGTGCACACATAAAGGAACACAAGAGGGTAGAGAATGATTGAAGGAGACTCTTGATTTCCACATGAATGCTTACACACATACTTCTGTACCAACCCCCCCCCCCCACACACACACACAAAATACTTGTGAGGAAAAAAGCTCAAAGTAGAACTATGTGATCTTGTTCTATCAATAATGGGCATGTGCCCAAAGGAAGCAAAGCAAGCATAAGATGCAGATCAATATATGACCTCGATTATTATCACCCCACTCCTTCTAGGAGCCCGTAAAAGTATGAATGGATGAAGGAAATATGAGATATACACGTATATCTGCTGAAGAAAGCATGCTGTTTTATTTGTAATAAAATGAATGGAGTTAAGCCAGATGTGGTGGTACATGCATTTAATTCCAGCACTCAGGAATTAACATTCAATAATAAAAGGATTTTTTTTCAAAAGAAGATAAATGCATCGTTTACTTTGTTGCTGTAATAAAATATAATGACTAAAAGCAATTTATGGAGGAACAAGTTTATTTTTGGTTTATGGATCTTTATGAAATGTCCAAAATGGGGAGGAAATTGTGGCAGCAGCTGCCCAGAGGCAGTGAAATGGGACTTGTGGGTAAGGCCATAAACTATCAAGTCCCGTCGCTGGTGATGTACTTCCTCCAGTAAGGCTCCATCTCCCATAATCTCCACAAACGTGTCTCCAACTGGAACCAAGTGTTCAAATGCTTGAGCTTCTGGGGACCTTTCTCATTCAAAAATCAGAATAGCAATAAAATAGACTTGATTGAATTATATAAAAGTAGAAGAAAATATGGATGAAATTGTAGATCATATTCAGTGAAAGAAATCAGACTCAGAAAACCAAATATTGCTAATTTTCTCCCATATATTGAAGCTAATTTTTTAAAGATATATTAAGCATGAGGAACTATATTTAAGAAGAGAAAGGGGACCAGAAGGTGAGCAAAGAGAAGAGAAGATAATGTAGAGGTGTGAGTGTGATCAAAGCATGTTTATTTATATGAGAATGTCATAAGAAAACTCTTCATTTTTGTGTAACCAAAATATGGGAAAAATAAATGTGTAGAGATAAATTCTGTAACTTTATACTCTTTAGGTTAAAAGAAAATGAGTATTCTAAAATTGAAGGTCTGCTGATCGTTAAGAGAGTGAATGTCAGACTCTTACTTCCCTGGGAGCTCTGGAGATATCCACGAAATGAAACATGCCTTCCATCACCACTGACTTTCACTATTCATGGCACTGGTAATATTAACTAATGTACTCAGACATGATAAAGAAATTAGGTAGTGAACTTGTTAGATTTTTGTCAATTTGACCATACAAGGCAGAGTCATCTGAGAAGAGAAAACCGCAGGTGGAAAAAGTGCCTCCATCAGACAGGCCTGTAGGTTAGTCTGTGGGGCATTTTCTTGATTAATAATTGATATGGGGAGGAGGCCCAGCCCACAGTAGGAGGTGCCATTCTTGGATAAGAGATCCAGGATGTATTAAAAAGAAGTTAAGCAGGGGCCATCCGGAAGAGAGAGACACCCAAGTACCTACCCCAGCAATGCCACTATGATAGGGGAGAGGTGGGGGAGAAAAGAGGATGTGTGGAGAAATGAGAGAAAAAGCAAATCTTTGCGCCTGGTGCACTGTGGAGAGAGGTGGAACTGGAGATGTGAGGGTAGTGAGGAACAGGCAGATATGAGGAGCCTGTGTAACCACCTGGAGCCATGGTGATGTCTGGGCCTGAGCTGCTACCAAAGCCATGTCTGGGTCTGTGGCCCTACTGTAGTTGGGGTCTGTACTGATGGCTGTAGCCTGTGTGGCCACCCAAGGCCAACTGGATATCAGTGGTCTGGGTTGCCTGAGACCATGTTGATGTCTGGGACCTTAGCGATGGCAGGGGCCAAACTAATCTGAGTGGCTTTTGCCCCCAAATGAGGCCATGGTGACATCCAGGCCCATGCTGACATCGGAGGACATGTCTGGCTTCATGGTCTTATCACAGCCTGGGTCTGTGTTCATGTCTTAGGCCCATGCCACCAAAGGCCATGTGGATTTTTCTGGCGCTGCCAGCTGAGGCCATGTAGATGTCCCAGCACTGTGCTGAATTGGCCCCACCTGTCACCTGCATTGGGAGAGCTGGCCGTGCTCCTCATCTGCCATGTGTAGAGGGACTCAGGAGAGATGCACCCCTCCACCCTTCCCACTCCCAGCTCTACCCCTTTACTCCCATACTCTACTCGATGCCTGCAGCAGATGAGTGAGCTGGCCCTGAAGGCAAGGATGCAGGAAAACTGGTGGGTTGACCAACTCAGCTTCCACTTAGGCCTAGAGCCAGGGCCTTGAGTTGGTCCACCCCTACATCCACCCCATCTATGAACTGCTAGAGACTGTGAAGGGACTGGTCCTGCAGATGCAAAGCTTCAGGATCTCCATAACGCAGGACAACAACAGGATTCTGAGAGGGGTCCCCCTGAAGACTGATAGCACAGCAGAAGCTGGAGGCCTCAAACCGGACCAGTGACTCATTGCAATTAACATTTGCAAGTGAAGATGTTTGGGCAAAAGGACTGCAGTGTGATACACCATGACACACTGCAGCTTCCACCCTGAGATATTTGTTTGTTGGTTGGCAGGGAAGGGGGAAGTTTGCAAAGGTGCCAGGGGGGTATGGAGGGACAGAGATGACGGGGATTGGTATAAATGATGTGAAATTTATGAAGAATCAATAAAAAGTTTTTCTTTTTCTTTTTTTTTTTTTTTTTAAGTTAAGCAAGCCTTGTACAGCAAGCAAGTAAGCAGCAATCCTCCGTGGCCTCTGCATCAGTTCCCGTCTCCAGTTTCCAATCTCGAGGTCCTGTTCTGGCTTCCCTCCATGATGGATTCTAAGCATTAAGATAAAATAAACCCTTTCTGCTCCAACTTGACTTGGCCCATGGTGTTATCACAGCAAACTGCACTGCCTTCTTGTCACTCCCTCTTACACGATGTCCCCTAGCCTTGGATGCAGCAGTTGAGTTGTGGTGTGTTAAGTAGGGCTGAGCGCCCCACGGTGAGTTGTTCTCTGCATTTTGACTAGCGACCTTCTGTAACAGCCACCTGCTGCCAAAAAAGTTTAGAGACACCAATCTAGAGATACGAAAGAACAAAGTGAGCTGTCACAGGTGACACCAGGAAATGTTGGGACTAAGCACTGAGGATTCCTAGAAACTAAGTGAGGATAATTCAGAAGAAATGGAGTGAAAAGAATAAGAAAATAACTATTGCTGTCTCCATATTAGAGGGAATGCATGCACCAGGAAAATCTCAGAAACCTAAGACAGAATTTCTACCGTAAAATAATAAGGACCCAAAAAGGCTGTGGTCTATTACCAGTGAAAAACTGAGAATGTGGCTCAAAGATTTCAGAGAAAAGAAGAGGATGGGACTAGGGGAATGACTCATTCAGGAAAATACTTGCCATGCATTCTTGAGAACCCAAGCCTGACTCACAGAATCTGTGTAAAAACTTGGGTGTGGTGGCTTGCACTTGTAACCCAGGGCTGGGCAGGTGGAGGTAGGAGAATCCTCAAGCCCGTCCAACCGAATTGTGAATTCCAGGCCAATGAGAAGCACTATCTCAATGGAGATGAGTGGCATTGCTGAGAACCACACCGGTGATCATCCACTACCATCCAGATATGCCCACGTAACTACACACACAGAAGCGTGCACAGACACACACACACACATGCACACATACATATGGACCCACATGCCTGAGAAAAAACAGGAGATGAGGTGCCGTGGTGATAGAGCAACTCTGGTTCAAAAAACAAACAAACAAAAAACAAAACAAAACAAAAAAACCTTTAAACTTTTACCAATAAAAAAAAAATTCATCTCTGTGCTGGTTTAGCACCATTTTTCAAAACAAAACAGATTCCGATTCTGAACATGTATGAGGCAATGAAAAGTTTATTATAACAGCAGCAAGAAAATTAGCTCAGTGGGACAGAAGCAGTAAAGGCTGGGTGTATGGGGGCTCAGGGTAGACTTTGCAACAGCCAGATCATTTCTCAAGGACAGACCTGTCTGTTCACCAAACTGGTTAAAAGGCTGAGAGAGCTCCTAGAGGCATACCCAAACATACCAGTCACTGCGTCGTCACCTACTGGATGGCTATTTGTACTCACCCTGGATCAGTTGACTTTTAACATTTGCTTTGCCTTCAAAAAGCAGGTAGAGAACAATTTAAGGCCATTAATTAAAATGTAATTAAGCAAACTGACTTTCATTGAGAATGGTACAGCCATCTATTGCTGTCTAAACATTACCTCATGCAAAGAAATGAACTTTCTAGTAAAACATAAAAGATAGCCATCCAAAAGATGAATATAGGTGTCTAGACGCTTCAGGTGAAGATTACTCTTGAGAATCCAGAAAAGGATGCCTGGGTACATCTCACCCTCTTTTCTTTGATCTCCTGGGTAGCTTCCTCTGAGAAAGAGAACAAAGCAGTATAAGCAATGATCCATTCTGCTTGGAGTTTCACAAACTGAGGATTGGTCACTTTCTTGTGAGTCGACTGAACAATTAACAACTGCCAATTGCAACATTTCCTTCATTCCTTAGTCCTGGAAGACAGAAACTACAGCATTTGGATATTGAGGAGTAAGTTCTGTAAAGCAGGGTTGTCATGGAAAAATGCAGAAAATACAGCTAAGGTCTACTCTTACAGAGCAGATCTAGTCTTGCATAAACTGACTGAAGAGAAAGGAAGCTACCTCCCATGCTTTTACAATTAATTCAAGTATCATATTTCCATTCTCAACTTCGCTCCTAGCATTTTCTTGTCGCTCTGCAAAGGCAAATTCTGTTCTGGTGAATTCCCGCTCCATACATGCCTTTCTCCTTTCCCTCTCCAATTTATCTTCCAGGTCTCTAATCTGTTCTTCATACTCCCTTCTTATCTGTGCGAGCTCTCTCTCCAGCTCCTTTTTGTACCGTTCTTGCATTTCCAGGGTCTGTTTCTGAATCACATCCTCAGCAGTTTCATACATCTTGTTGGTAAAGCATCTTCCACCATTTTCCCTCACCATGCTCTGGACCAAGTTCAACAGTTCTGTCCTCTGGCCTTCTTGTTCAGCTCTTAAGGCTTTGTTGTTGAACAAACAGTATCGATTCTCAAACTCATGGATCAGCTCTTGAATGCTTCTGGGAGCTGTGTCTAAGTACTCATGGATATCAGTGCCTTCCAAGTCATCCTTCCTGGTGAGCAGGAGAATCATGAATCTTCTAGCCTTCTTTCCAAACATGCTCAGAATCTTCTGTGTGGCCTTATGTTCTTCCACAGTGTAACGCCCCAATGGGACCACCAGGAGCAGAGCATGAGGCCCTGGGGAGGTCAGGGCAACACAGCGAGTAATCTCCTTTCTTGTGGCAGCCTCTGGGACCTCAGTGTCAAAAACACCAGGTGTATCCACAACAACAAGCTCTCTCCCTTTCCAGGTGCTCACCCTTTTCTCACACACCTTGGTTATGGATTTTGCACAAATGCCAGAAGAAAACACTTTCTTTCCAAGAATGCTGTTTCCGGTTGCACTCTTTCCTGCCCCAGTTTTTCCCAGGAGGACAATTCTGAGTTGGGGATTTCCTTCATCTTGTTTCCCAAGATCTAGAACATCAAGGAAACAGAACCAGGTGTGAGACTCAGCCCCCAAGAGAGAAGTTCTGTAGTGTCTCGCTTGTGATCCCCACTCTCTGGATGTGTAACAGCTTTCTCCTTGCTGTCACCTCTGCCCTCTCTGGGTCTGTAACAACCTCTGGGTCTAAATGGCCAACTAAATGGTCTAAAGGAAGGACTTGACAATTGGTACCTTCTTCGATCTCCTTTCTTTACATCCTTCTTTAAATATTATTTTGAGATCCTCATTCTGACCTTTTGTGGTTTCCAAACACTCAGAGGAGAAAACATGAGTTTCAGAAGCCACTTATGATAGCCACCTGACTAACAGAATCCAGAGTGGAACATAAAGTGTGAGTTTGGGCGCATCTGCAGGGACAGATGTATTTTCTTTTGATTTATATTTAAAAATGGCAGATATAGGTGTGTGTGTGTGTGTGTGTGTGTGTGTGTGTGTGTGTGTGTGGTATTTTCTTCTTTCAACTTTCAGGCAAGTGGGGAGGTATACAAATATTAATATAGTCTCCCATGTTGGGGAGCCAGAATTCCAGGATGAAAGAAATACGTGACTGAGGACAGACAGTCTGAGATAGTCTAAGAAAGGATGTGGGGTAGTTCACATCAGCATTTACTTGGCTGCACAGTGGAGTAACCCATCTGAAAGATTTGTTGGCATTGGCTTCTTGGTCAAGGTACCAATGGTAGTTCCTATGCCATAATTAGCCAGTGTTGAGACCAAGTGATGATGACCCATGTCTAGGCTACAATACAGACCTAACCTTCCCCATCCCTGAATGCCTGCCTCTTTGGGATGTCGCGTTGTAGCTCTCCCCAGTAAAGTGTAGCCGGTAAGTCTGCTTCTGACATGCTTTGGAGGACAAGCAACAAAATTTCCAAGAACCCTTAAGCACTGTGGCCTCCCTGCTCCTTTGGCTCCTCTACAGCTTCCATGTGAAGATACTTGGACGATCTTGCTTGATAGTAAGAGCCAGGTAAGATCCCCACCATCCTGGCCATGCTAGACTACCTGACTACATCAGAGCTCCTTAAAACACAGGTTGTGACTTTGTGTGGGGCCACAAAACCGAACATAGGGAGGAAGAGAAACAGTAAAAGATTAACAACAGTAAAAGATTCTAAATGCCCAATGACTACAAATGATTTCAAAATCAAAGCTGTAATGAATCTGTAATATCTCTGATAGCACTTGCCTGTTTTATGATAAAATAGCAACCTTGCTACTGACCAACAATATGAACACTTCATTTTGCTCATACCATTCAGTATCAATAAACACTACCTGAAATATCTTGACTTGGATTGAGACTATTGCCACTTTGTATTGTGTACTTAGTGAGTGGCATTCTTACAACTGATTATTATGAATTTAAAATAGCTATCAACCCTAAAAAATGTTTGAAATGCTCTGTCCTGTGAGGTCAAATATTTAATCAAGACTTACTTATGCAAAACTAAACAAAACTAAACACAACCTGAGCACATCCATCTCACTAGTATGTAAATGTGTTTTTTTAAGTTGAAGAAAGACAATACATTTATTAACTTTAATTTTCTTGTTTACTTTTCTTGTACATGGCATATGCTTCTTCAGTGTTGTTGAAGAGAAGCTGTTAAACACAACTTGTATGAAGTTATAGTGTACAGTGAACTGCTTGAAAGAGGCTCTCACAATGTTTAACATTTCCATTGCTCATATAACTATGTTTTGTGGTAAAAACACTTAAAATCTACTTTTTATCAACTGTGAATTGAGTATGTTAACTCTGTTATGCAACAAGTCTTAAGAATGTACTCATCCTATATAACTGAAACTCCTCATGATATGAAAGGGGCAAATATACTTTAATCTTTACAAAACCTTAAATTAAATATATATATATATACTATATACATACATATGCATATATACATATCAAAATTCAGTTCAAATGTCATATGTTTGACTTGTGATCTATTTTATGTATCTAAGTACCTAGGGTCACATAAAAATTTCCTGAGGACAAGGCAGCAAATGTTTAAGAAGCCCTGAACTGCACACATCTGTGAGTCTGTTAAGACTCTGGCAGGAAAACCCTAGCCTACAACAGGTGCAGGAGTGACACATCTGTGAGCCTATGGGGACTCTGACAGGTGCATGAATGACACATCTGTGAGCCTATCTGCACTCTGACAGGTTCATGAAAGACTGCCCAACTTTAACAAATATGCTTCAAACCCAAGAAATGCTTGACTGATGATCCAGAGAATCTGGAGCAGAGATATGGTAATATTTTAAACTACTATGCTATAAGGTAGTTTAATAAAGGAGCAAAATCTCAGCTGACACAGTGAACATGGCGGTGGAGGACTGGAGTGTTCACTGGCAGGTTGATTCATTTGTTGATCAGAATGAGGCCCCTGGGAGCAGGGACTCAGAGGAGACTCCCAGCAGTGGAGAGACAGGAGCAGGATGGCTGTCACAGGTTCCAAGCTGGCCTGGGCCTCCGTATGAAAACCCATGTCAAGACAAACCATAGAGGGAACAGAAAGAAAGGATGGGAAGGGAGGGCCATGCCAACTAAGGACTGGGCCAGTGGGAGGCCATTTGGTTTCTCCTGCTCGGCCTGATGGACATAACCCAAGAGAACATAAAATCAAGAAATTTGGGAGAGCAGAGACATGAAATGAGGACAGCATAATGGTTTTCTCCTGCCCAAGTGGGGACTAATGGTTATCACAGGAGGGACTGAAGCCCTCCCTGCCTGCTTTCCCACTTCTGCAGTTTGACTCTCCTCTGACCTTGACCCCAGCTCCTCTCACCATGGCTAGTTCTTGACTGTCCCAGGATGGACTCCACACCATGGTACTGGGCTGCCATTGTAGCTTGACTCCCTGAAGATAAAGAAACAACCAATGCAAGTGATGAAAAACAGTGACCCCCACCTCCTATAGCCAACACTAAACTTTCTCCCATGAACTCAGTGCTTTGATTTCTCCTGCCTTGTCCTCCAATGCTCATCACAAATTCTTTTGTTGTTGTTGTTTCAGGCTGTAATTTTTTTTTGCACAGATTTAATTTCTTCCAGCACTTCCTTGTACTGTTCCTGGTCCTCTCCTTCTCTCAGGCTAGTGAGTGACTACTGTAGTCTCTTTTTCACGATATTCCTTCAGTATTCTCAACTTCTGGCTCAGCCCTCCACTGTGGCTTTCATGGGCATCTCTAACAAAGGCTGACCAGGATAGAACCCTTGACTTCTGATTCCCCCAGGCATGAGTTCTTGTCAATCCTCCTTTAGGAAAAGACAGAGATGTGACCAGAGAGGCCACAATCAGAGGGCCCATAGGCAGCCTTTCTGCTGTCTTCATTGTAGAAAAGAGGAAGTAAGAAGCTGTGCTGAAGGCAGTTGTGGTGGCTCACACCTGTCACCCAGCATGATCATCTCTCTCTAAAGGCACGGACCTCCCCTGTGTGTTCCCAAGATCCTAGAAGCACTTTTGTCTCTTAGACCTTTTCAGAACTTCCCCTTCCTGGGGGCACCCTCTCTAATGCCTCTCTCCTGCAGCATTGCCAACCGAAGGCTCAGGCTCTCAAGTTCACTTGTGCTTGCTGTAGCTTCACAGCAGCATTTCTTCATCAAGGACATGGTTGTAAGGTGAAATTGTTCTCTAACATTTAATTGTCTCCTCTTAGACTATATGGCAGGAAACTCTCCAGGGATAAGCACAGCCCTGGACAAAAGTGGGCCTCAATTTATTTCTTAAAGAAGCAAAATGATCCTCTTGGGTCTTTACTTCTCTCTTCATGCTGGTGACCCGTACACATCGTCATCCCTTCCTTGTTAATCAAGACACAGGCGTGCAGAAACATCAGCTCATTCCTAAATCTTCCTGTAACTAATGCCCATTAACATGTTTTCAAACACTGGAGCCACTGTGGTCAAGACAGGCTGGAATGCTCTCCTTTGAAATGTCATGGGCTGTACAACCAGGACCTGTATTTCTATAGGTACTGATTTCATTGACTAAGAAGTCCCCCCTCTGCCTAAGACCAAACATCCAATATTGGCTTCAGAACTGTAGTCACAGTGACTGTAACCTCCCTACTTAGACCCACCTAGAGGGAGGTCAACTCTTCTATGAACACTGGAAAGAATGGCTCCCAAGAGGCAGGTTCTCTAGGAAACAGCTTAAAGGAAAAAAATAACAGTGACTGCTGATCCTGACCTGTATGCCAGCTTGGTGGAGGACATATGACCAGCTGGGCCTGTTAGGAATCTGCCATCACTACCTTCTCCCTGCCTGCTCTCTCCAAGCCAATCTATTCATTTTCTTCCTGGAAGAGTCAAGTTAAAGTTTTTACCAGTGACAGAAAACTTTCTCTGTAGAGAAAGTGCAGTGAACCCTGAAGCACACATGAATTCGTGGGGCTCAACCTTCAACATGGATTACAGCCTAATGTCAGCAGGCAGGAAACAGAAAACATCAACTACAACTTCCAAGAGCAGGTTTGTCGGGAGGTTTACTACACACAGACAACAGACAGGCACCCTTCTCACCAATTTCAGCACCCTACCTACCACCCCTGTTTTCTTACCTGAAAATCTGGGTCCTGTGGCCTTCTCTGATTTTGCAACAATGCTAAAACCAGAAAAGAGAGCAGAGTGGCGAGAGGAAGCCAGGGGGAGGAACTGTGGAAAGAGGAGTGTGTGAGAGACCCACCCACCTTCCTAGCTAGCTGCTCTGCAGAACTTCCTGCAGCCCTCTTGCTCTGTGCCCTCTAAGGGGTACCCAGGGGCTGCTGGTAGCTGCTGAGCATTTGGAATGTGTTAAATCAGTTGCATAAATAGAGCTTTCATGATAGCCGCTTTTCTCAGTGTCAGGGCTTTGTCCACTACAATATGCTCCATCTAGTAACTAATGGGTAGTCTGCCCTTGTTTGGCAGAACATTCCTTAAATACGAATGACAATGACTTAGTTGGCAGTGAATCTCCTGTGTGCTTACTTATTTAAGCCACGGTGCGGGGGGATTCCTTTTCAATAGCACATAATAGAATCTACTTTTAATTTGGATTTTAGACATTTTATACTTCATGTTATTAGTGATACCGTTGGATTTAATGGGACATCTATATCATATCTTCTCCCCTCAGGTCACAGGTCTCATTGCAGATGAGGATATGGAAAGGAGGCAGTGAATATCTGCAGTGAGACAGTGTTTGCTGGACATGGTAAGGTCATTTCACACACAAACATGCACAAACCAAAACCCTAGCACTGATGGGCAAAGGTTCATGAAGTCATGAGCAATGGGCAAATGACTGCAGCTAGTGTGTGTGTATGTGTTTGTGTGTGTGTGTGTGTGAGGGAGAGAGAGTTGTGAAGCTTTTCTAAGAACAGTGGCCCTAAAAGGCTACCCATATGCTAGTAGATGAGCCCACATGCAGATTTAAAAAAAAATGGATCAGAGAGGGTATATGAATTTGAGAGGGAAAGGAGAGGGCTAGAGAAAGAATTAGAGAGGAAACAAAGGGAATGTAATTGATTAAACACATGTGGATACATAAAATTCTCAAACAACAAAAAAAATTATCATCCTGCTACCAGTTTTTTCTCTCTGCAACCTGCTTTTTCTCTTCTTTTCTCTATTATTCTGCCTACTTTGGGACTGATCCTTATGTAATTTCACTTTTGTTTCTTCTTGGCTTATTCAGGACAACTTTCTCTCTCTCTCTTTCTTTCTCTCTCTCTCTTTGTGTATGTGCACGTGTGTATTTTCTTTGGCCTCCATGCATACCTCTTCAACTTGGGACAGTCTCCTTTCAATTCATATTTAAGCTCTCCACATATATACCAGAAGAACCTCATGTCTCCACACTGTTGTTTTCATGTACTTGACATCCACATAGTTTATAAACCCCAAGGGACCACCAACTCTGGATAGTCACATGGGCAGAGTTTAGCAGGAAAAGCCTAGAGTTTGGATCCCTAACATAAACAATAAAGTGATGTAGGGGAAAATATTGAGTTGGATTAGCACATCCAAGAAATCTATCTATAGTTACTTCGATTCTCCAGGTTCATCTGTGAAATCTGCTAACTTGCACAGTCACCACACTTCAAAATGATGATGAGAGAGGCCCTGACAAACCTCAGTTTCTCACCATAGGCCTTCTAAACTCTCTTTTCATCTTCCCATGTACTGCAAAGTTTACTGAAGGGTCCCCTGAGTTTGTAGCCGTAACTGTGGTGCTGGGACTAAAAATGTCCACATGCAATCATAATTGAGAGAAGAGTTTGTGACAGATGACACTGGTCAGCCGTAAAACCTTCTAGCCATATGCCTTTTTCTTTTTTACAACAATTTGTTTTTTTTTATGTTTCCTCTCTGCTATATAAACTGATATTGTTCTTCAATTCTTGTGCTCCTTTCCCAGACTTAGACAAATTTCTGATCCACCTCAAAGTTTTATGGCAAAGAGACATAAGGGTGATTTTTTCATAGCAATTTTCAAGAGATTGTCAACTTGACAGCTGATGTCAGCCCATTTCCCAGAACCCTGTGTCGAAGATAGTTAGTGTTAAATGTACTTGTGTGCTAAAACACTTCCTCCCTTGCTAGAGCTCACTGGCAGAGCCAAATAGTTCTTGAGTGGGGAGTGAGGATTGAAAGAAAATTTAAAAACCAACACACTACACATGGGATCAGTTTTAGAGAGCCGCCAGTAGAAACTATCACACTGATCCCTTTTTATAGTCAAAGCAAAGCACCTTGAGGCAATGAACTGGTTCAAGGAGAAGTCAAACTTGTTTACCTTGACCACCTATATGTGTGATCCTCATACAAACAAAAGGAAGTGAACTTGGCAAAACATCCTGTCTATCCCTGTCAAAACATGCTTTTCTCTGAGAACTCAATAACAAAGCAGCCTGACAAACAAGTGGCTCTCTACACTCCTTGTATCAGCCACAGACATTTCCTGTCCTCTAACCTTCACCTTTTGTCTTAAAAACACATGAGTTGTAGTCATCTTACAGGGTGGAAAGGTTAAAATAGAGGGGCCATTACAGCCTGTAATTAACATGAGATGGAACCTGAAAGAGACTGTGGGGAAGGGTTGAGAAATGGAGAAACACCTCAGGGAGATATCAGCTTGATAGATGGTATTGAGAGTTCTCCTGGGTGTCACTTTGGACTTGTACTGGCCCAAAGCAGAACTTTCCTCTGTCTTCCACCTGAAGAGGAGACTTAGTTTTGGCCACTCACAGCTCAGTCTTGAGTGGGTGTGATGTTTGTACAACATCACAACCTTTTAGGATCATTTGTAGTAGACTCTAAAATGCCTAAACTACTAATAAAATACTTGGCAAATTCATTATAAAAGTTATCAGAATTGTCCTGGAGAAATGGGCCAGTAACTAGGAATGCTGGCTGCTCTTCTTGTGGACCTAGGCTGTCTTCCAGCACGCCTGTGGTGGCTCACAACCACCGTTAGTCCACTTTAGTGGCTCTGACATTCTCTTCCAGCCTCTGTGGGATCCAGTCACACATATACATTCAAGCAAAGCACCTGTACATGTATAAAACTTTTAAGATAATCTGAATAAAGTTCACAGCTGGGAAAGACCATGATGCCATCATTCCCTAAGTAAAGAGATTCTGGAAACATGTGGAAGAGGGACATAGTCTCCAGCTGTGTACCAACTAGTGAACTCAATTGGCTCTAATGTATAGTCTCAAACTCGTGGTCACATGAGCAGCCATACTTAAAATCTGTGAGACACAAAGCAAAAGAAAAAGTCATAAATTTGGAGAACAGATTTGTAGGGAAGAAGGGAAAATGGGAAGTATGGGAGAAAAAAACAAGTATAGAGAGTAACCAGAGTATGTTATATGCACAGAATTGCCAACAAAAATTATTACTGAAAACAAACAATAAAAATATTTTTTATAGAGGAGATTCAAAATGGCAGAATTGATCACACACTGTGACTGATCAGCAGGAAAGCAGTGACTGCACAGAAACTAAGAGACTGAACTGTGTGCCTCAAAACACCAGAAACTGTGTTTCCCAGATGATATCAAAGTAAACTAATAAAAATCCATAAAAAAAACACAGGAAGATACATTCAAACATATTGAGGCCATTAGATAGGCTGGTAGAGAGGAAATGAATAAATCACTCTAAGAAATACAGAAAAATTCAATCAGGTGAACAAAATCAATAAAACAGTTCAAGATTTTAAGATGAAAATGGAAGCAATAAAGAAAGCACAAACTGAGGCAATCCTGGAAAGAGAGAAGTTATAGAAGAAAATAAGAACTATGAGGTAAGCATCTCCAACAGAGTATAAGAGAGGGAGGAAAGAATCTCAGGTGTAGAAGATACAATAGAAGAAATTGATGCCTTGTCAAAGAAAATGTTATCTCTAAAAAGTTTCTGACACAAAACATCCAAGAAGTCAAGGACAACATAAAAAGACAAAACCTAAGAATAATGAGAATAGAGGAAAAAGATTTCATCTCCAAGGCCCAGAAAATATTTTCAACAATATCATTGAAGAAAAAAATTTTCCAATTTAAAGAAAGAGATGCCAATAAGCATACATGAGGCCTACAGAACACCTAATAGATTAGACCAGAAGAGAAAATCCTTCTACCAAAGAGCTGGAGAGGACAGGAACTCCACAAGGAGAGCAACAGAACAAGATAATTTGAACAGAGGGAACTTCCCAGAGACTCATACTCCAACCAAGAACTATTCATGGAGATAACCTAGAACCCTGACAATGCAGCCACTTCTGATGAGAACTGATAGACTAAAATCAGAAAGAAGGAGAGGAGGACCTCCCCTATCAGTGGACTTGGGGAGGGCCATGCATGCAGAAAGGGGGGGAGGGTGGGACCGGGAGGGGAGGAGGGAGGGGCTTATGGGGGAATACAAAATGAATAAAGTGTAATTAATAATGATAACAATAAAGTAAAAAAAAATAATCAAAATATTAAATGTACCAAACAAAGAAAAAATATTAAAAGCTGCAAGGATAAAAGGCCAAGTAACATATAATGGCAAACCTATCAGAATCATAGCTGACTTCTCAACAGAGACCATGAAAGCCAGAAGTGACTGGACAGATGTTGTGCAGATCTTAAGAGAACACAGATTCAACCCAGACTACTATACCCAGCAAAACTCTCAATCATCATAGATGTAGAAAACACTATATTCCATGAAAAAAACAAATTTAAACAGTACCTATCCAGAAATTCAGCCATACAGAAGATATTAGAAGAAAATATCCAACCCAGGAAGATTGCCTATACCCAGGAAAATGTAGGAAATAAATAACGTCACTACAGCAAAACTAGAAGTAGACAAGCACCCAAACACATTATTACACCAACATCAAAATAAACAGAATGAACAGTCATTGGTCATTAATCTCTCTCAACATCCATGGTCTCAACTCTCCAATAAAAAGACAGAGACTAAAAGAATGGATGCATAAATAGGACCCAACATTCAGCTGCACACAAGAAACATACCTCAGCCCCAATGATAGACATTACTTGAGAGTAAAGGGCTGGAAGAAAGTTTTCCAAGCAAACAGACCTAAGAAGAAAGCAGGAATAGCCATTCTAGTATCTAATAAAATGCACTTTCAACCAAAATTAATCAAAAGAGATGAGGACTATGATACTTCATAGTCATCAAGGAAAATTCCACCAAGATGACATCTCAATTCTGAACATCCATGTCCCAAATAGAATGGCACCTGCATTTGTGAAAGAAACATTAATAAAGCTTAAACCACATTCATTCCCACACATTAACAGTGGGGGACTTCAACACCCCACTCACATCAAAGGACAGGTCAATGAAACAGAAGCTAAACTGAGAAAAAATGACACTAACAGATGTCATGAATCAAATGAACCTAACAGACATCTACAGAACTTTACACCCAAACACAAAAGACTATCCATTCCTCTCAGCATCTCACAGAATCTTTTCTAAAATTGACCATATAGTGGGTCACAAAGCAAGCTAAACAGATATAAGAAGACTGAAATAACACCTTGTATTCTATCACACCATGATGGACTAAACAACCAAACTTTGGCAGAGTGCAGGGAGTCATAGGAAAGAGTCAGGGGATAGAAGGATCCAGAGGGGACAGAAGCTCCAAAGGAAGACCAAGAGAGCCAGTAAATCTGGGCCCAGAGATACCTGCAGAGACTGATATGCCAACCAATGACCATGTGTGGAGAGGACCCAGAACCTCTGCTCATAAGTAGTTCAATCTCCATGTGGGTTCCCTAGTAAGGGGAGCAGGGGCTGTCTATAACATGGACTCTGTTGCCAGCTCTTTGATCATTTTCCCCTGTTGGGGGTCCTTGCTAGACTACAGAGGAAGAGGATGTAGGCAGTCCTAATTAGACTTGATAGTCTGGGGTCAGATGGCAGGGGAAGAGGGCTAATGGGACTAGGGAAGGGGGTTAGTGGGAAAGAGGGAGGGAGGGGTCTATAATCAAGAACCGAAGTGAATAAATTATAAAACTAAAATTATATTAAAAATAAAGTGACAAGAATTATAAAAAAATATTTTTGTTATTGACCATTTTCAACCAATAATACTTAAAATATCCTCGAGGTATAAGAATGGGCATGAGTGAGACTTTCTGAAAATATTCTGTGCATTTGTTCTGCCATATTTTATTTCTGTTTAACAACATATCAGAGATTTCAAAGTGAAGATAAGTTGGCTTATAGAAACTACATGGTAACACTGTGGTCAAGCACCTATTACATACCACATTGGCAAAACACCAACAAAAGTGATCAGAAAGCTCTCAAGACTATAAAATTGAAAGTGTCTGTAATAATGAGATGTTTGAACAAACAGTTTGAAGACAAGAGTACAGTGGACAAGGTACCGACATCCAACACAAATCCAGACAGGCTGGAGGTGATAGTGACAAAGACTGGACCACAAAAGGGGCCTCAAGTTCAGAAATGCCAGGTAAAAAGAACTAGGCTACTAGAGGATGAAGTTGGGGCTTGTCGAAACAGCGGGCCCCAAAATCCCCTCGGCCCCCTAATTCAGAGTACTGCATTTCATCTTCTCCTAAAACAATGGTCAGAGGGTTCTTTTGTGAGGGTTAGAACATTTCTTGAAAGCCTTGCACATCCAGTACTTGGGGTTCATTGCACATGGTCATCTGTGTCTGCTCTGGCACCTGTAGTGGAAATCTGAGGCCCATGACAGAGCTTCCAGCCAGCTTTCCTAATGACTAATTTATTTTAAATCAGTAAATGAGGTGTGTGTGTGTGTGTGTGTGTGTGTGTGTGTGTGTGTGTGTGTGTGTGGCCTCTGAGTGCAGATACCAGAGGAGGGCAGAGGTACTGGATCTCCCTGGAGCTGGAGCAACAGGTGGTTGTGAACAGGCTATGGGAGCTGGGAACAGACTTTGGATCCTCTGTAAGAGCAGTGCAGGTTCTTAACTGCTGAGCCATCTTTCTAGCCCCTAGTAACTTATTCTGAGATGAAAAGGCAAGCAAGCAGAACTCACATTTGAAGGAAGACTGCAACCCAAGAGAGATAAGGACAAGAACATGTAGCCCTGAAAGAAACGGCCATCTCAGGATTCAAAAGTGAGAAAAACTGACCATGCATACTATCATTTGCAGTAACGTGGATGAGTCTGGGAGACACTATGCTAAGAAAAGACAAATACTTCCCCATCTAATTTTCACATACAATCTAAAGAGGCCAATTAGTGATTAAGGGATGCTCAGCCACATTCCACAGACACATCTCCAACAAAACTCCTGTACCTAAGGCTCAGGGAACATATCAGAGGAGGGAGCAGAAAGTTGTTAGAGTCCGAGGACCAGGAAATCTGGTGTGAGAGTGTGTCTCCTAGAAATGACAGGAAAACTTCATCTATGATAACTCAACAACATGTAGTACCTGAAGAAGACCTCAGCAGGCATAACACCAACAGAGATGCTAACTTAGAAGGGGGAAATCTCATGAGATCCTGTCCCTCATGAGAACCACATGCAAGTAAGCAATGCTGCAGCAGGAGAAATTGTGTCCTCAGGGATGAACAATACCAAGTGGTCAGCACCACAATCTAAAAACACAAGTGCTAGTAAATAGACTGAGCAAGTTGTATTTACATATTCATGTATACATACCTGTGTTATGATAACAACTAAAGAAAAGGAGGCAAGGAATCTGAAAGGGGGCAAGGAGGAACATGAGGGGGTTAAAAGGAGGCAATATAAGGGAGAAATTATTTTAATTACAAAAAATTTTAAAAGTCAGTTGGGGATAGGGTTCATGTCTAATAATTGCCTCAGTTTAATTATATATGTGTGTGTGTGTGTGTACTACATATATATGAAAGCCACAATGTCCACATTCAAAGTAAGAAGTTTTATTTATCAATTATGCCTTAATCAATCAAGAAATCTAAGATATTGCTATAACCACCCTTAGAAAATTCAATGTACTACATTAACAAATTATGGCAAATTATAAAGAACCCGCAGAACTTGATGATAAGACCTTATTGCTAAAGACACTTATACTATGTTTGTGAGATATGAAGAAATTAGACTGGAACTGATCAGGAAGCTTCCTCCCCACTGGCTAGCTTTCATGTTGCTGAAAATTGCTATGTAGGTTGATGGGGAAGAAAAAAAAATCATCAATATCCTTAATTATGTACAAACCTATAAACTACAGTGCCAAACTGTGCCAACCTACCAGGCAAGTGGGCCCACTTGTACAGTGCTGATATGACTATTATGGGCATAACCAAAGGCTTTCTGATTGGATTTAAGGCCCTATTTCATAGGAGGGAACTCATGTGTGGTACTGTAACCCTAATCAAAAACCCAGTGCTGGGGAAGCCACAGGCCACAGTGGAGACTCCCTAGTGTTTAGCTAAAATTGACATGACACTAAACTGCAGTCTATTTACTTATACCCACAGCAAATGCTATTCTTACCCTCCATCAAAGAAGCCCCTCTTTGCAGAGAATACCAGGGAATGCAGAGACTCATGCCTGCTCAAAATGATGAGAACAAGTGATGACTGAGTGCTCAACCCTAAAGGGGACACTTACACCACTTCTTTTAATATTCAGGAAACAGTCATTACTGTCATGAGCTCACAGTAGCTATGTTCCTGCCAACAATTAGTCACCAGATGGATGGAAGGGGAGGAGCTCATGGGAACCTAGTCCATCCTGCTCAACTGGTAAAACTACTGCTGGAAAAGGTAGAGTCATTGTCCTCCATTGTATTCCTTCTGGTGAGCGCACTACACTCTGATAGATTATGCTAAACTTGTCACAAACATGGACCTAGCTAAATTTTTTTGGATCCCAAAGCAAAAGATACCAAAACAAAAAGATATGAATGAAATTAGAACACATATGTGTGTATGTATCAAATTGTCAAAGAACAAATGCCAGTAACAAAAAAAAAAAAAAGAAATTTACATCAAAGCACCAACTTGTTCCAAATATTTGAAAGTATTTTTTTTATCTTTTCGAAAATATATGTAAATATATCCTTTTCAGCTGCTTCCTTTATATTTCTCATTTTTTCTTCATAATCTCTCCTTGCAGAATCAATTTTTTCTATCTTTTCTTTTTCTGATTTATTAGCATATTCCTTTTCTATTTTGTCAATTTCAACACTGAATTCTTGAGCATAAGTTTCCATCAGAATCCTTTGATTTTTGTTTAGTGTTTTATCTATGTCCTGATATATGTGGTCAGAAAAGTAAGACCCTCCGTTTGTGTCCACCATGTTCTCTATCAGTTCCACCAGCTGCTGCACTTGGTCTTCTTGCTCAGCCGCACCTGCTTTGTTATTGAAGGCCAGGTAGCGGTTCCCACACTGCAGGATGATATCATTTACCTTTTCTCCTGCTTTAACTAAAAAGCTGTCAAGGCTCTGATCTTCAAGGGCATCTTTGTTAGTAAACAAGATAATCATGTACTTCATGGCTGCCTTCCCAAAAATACCCTTGATCAAATCAACAGTTTTCTGCTCTTCCTCAGTGTAGCGGCCCAGCCTCAGAACCAGGATAATGGCATGAGGCCCAGGGCAGGAGTAGAGGACACAGCGGCTGATTTCTAAACATGTAGTTGTCATGGTCTCCTTGGTGTCAAAGAGCCCGGGAGTGTCGACCACAACAAGGACTCTCTTCTTCCATGTCCTGGATGCTCTCTGGCAGGTCTTGGTAACAGCATGGGCAGCAATCTTAGACTCAAACTGGCGTCTCCCAAGGATGGTGTTTGCTGTAGCACTCTTTCCATTTCCGGTTTTCCCTACCAGAATGATCCTCATATTAGTGTTCGCATGGCCAGCCATGTTGAGGTAAGCCGACTCTGAAGATCAGGAGTGCAAGTATCTTAAGGGACAGAAGGAAAAGAAAATAGCCTATTAGATAAGTGGGAACAACCCCCAAACCTTCCTTTTTTGCCTTCCCTCCCTGAAATTTTGCAATGTTCTATTGTCTTTATGCATCTCTACAGAGACACAAAGGTGAAACATTACTATGGAGGAAATTGAGTAATTAAAGTTTCTCCACAGAAAAATCATGCTCTATGTGATTCCACAGGAAAATGCCACTGGCATGTGTATAGCAGTGTTCACATAGAGGTCAGAGGATGACTCTGTGGTTTCAGCTCTATCCTTCCACCTCATGTGGGTTCTGTGCATGGAACTCCAGTTGCCAGGCTTGCATAGGAAGTACCTCTATATGCTGAGCCCTCTCATTAGCACCCACTCACCCAGCTTTCAAACCTTTCATACTTTCAAACCTCTGATAATCTGGATGACATTTAGACTGATCTTGATAGCATGGAAAAGCTATTCCTACTCTTGTTACCAGTGTCCCTGGCAATATTGGAACAAGTGTGCCTGGGCCAGTCCAGTGCAAGGTCTGAGACTGAGTGCAGCCAAGTCTCTACTGTGCCAAATACCTGAAAGCCCAGCCAGGAAGAACAGTGGGATGAGTATAGTGTTCAACAATTTGCTATATATTTTGTGACAATCTAGGAGAGGCATTCAAAGACTCCAAACATAAAGAAACAATAAGGAAGACTGAAGCAGGTGGATCTCAATGAGTTTGTGGCCAGCTTTTTCTATAGAGCAAGTTCCAGGACAGGCAATGGTACATAGAGAAATTCTGTCTTACATTAAAAAAAGAAAGAAGGAAAGGAAGAAAGAAAGAGGAAGAAAGTGGAGTTGCTTTGTATCCAGCCACTTTGCTGAAAGTGTTTATCAGCTGAAGGAGTTCTCCGGTTGAATTTTTGGGGTTGCTCATGTATACTATCATATCATTTGCAAATAGTGATACTTTGCTTTCTTTCCGATTTGTATCCCCTTGATCTCCTTTAGTTATCTTATTGCTATAGCTAGGACTTTAAGAACTATACTGAAGAGATATGGAGAGAGTGGGCAGCCTTGCCTTGTCCCTGATTTCAGTGGGATTGATTTAAGTTTCTCTCTGTTTAGTTTGATGTTGGCTATAGGCTTGCTGTATATTGCCCTTACTATGCTTAGGTATGTGCCTTGTATCCCTAAGTGAAGAATCCCAGAATCAGAAAGACACACACAATATATACTCACTTATAAGTGGATATTAGACATATAACATAGGGTAAACATACTAAAATCTGTATTCCTAATGAAGCTCAGCAAGAAGGAGGACCCTGGGTAAGATGATCAATCCTCACTCAGGAAGACAAACGGGATAGACACTGGAAGAAGGAGAAAACAGGAAACAGGACAGGAACCTACCACAGAGGGCCTCTGAAAAATTCTACCCAGTAGTATATCAAAGTAGATGCCGAGATTCATAACCAAACTTTGAGCAGAGTACAAGAAATCTTATGAAAGAAGGGAGAGATAGAAAGACCTGGAGAGGACAGGAGCTCCACCAGGAGAGCAACAGAACCAAAAATCTGGGTCTTTTTTAAGACTGATACACCAACCATGTACCATTCATGGAGATAACCTAGAACACCTGCTCAGATGTAGCCCATGGCAGCTCATTCTCCAAGTGGGTTCCCTAGTAAGGGGAATAGGGACGGTCTCTGACATGAAATCAGTGGCTGGCTCTTTGATTGCCTCCCTCTGATGGAGGAGCAGCCTAGTCAGGCCACAGAGGAAGACAATGCCAGTCCTGATGAGACCTGATAGCCTAGGGTCAAATGGAAGGGGAGGATTGTTGGGATACATAAGCAGGCATCTCTACAGCCAGCCCCAAGGGACCTGACAAACTGGATATCAGGCATCTGTGAAGCCACCTATGGACCACCTGGAACCATCTGCATATGCTCTGGGTCACTTTATAAGAGAACTCAAAGCTCCTCCTCTCTTTCTCTCCTGCCCTGACCAGAGATGGTCTCTGTGACCTTTTTCCCCTTCCATTTTCCCTTCCCTTTTCAATTCCTTTCCCCCATTCCTTAATAAACCTCTCACGTGGAACCAGTGGTGTGATTTGTGAACCTGCCATGTAACTCTGTTGCACAATCCTAACAAAGAGAACCTCCTCAATCAGTGGACTTGGAGAGGGGCATAGGAGGAGATGAGGGAAGGTGGGTAGGATTGGGTGGGAATAAGGGAGGGGGTTACAGCTGGGATACAAAGTGAATAAACTGTAAAAAAATAAACACAATAAAAAAGAAAGTGGAGTTGCTCATTCCTCTGATTTGACAATTACAGAGTTTAGTATGTCTTTAAATATCACTAAAATCAGAAATATGTTCACTTATCACATGTTACTAAAAAAGAAATAAAAACCCAGGACAGTTAAAACAATCCTGAATAAGGAAAGAACTGGTGGAGATATTGAAAGAATAAGATTAACTTTGTAACCTATGTTTCTTTTAATTGCCTTATAACTTATATTTTCAAGTTTAAGGCTCATGTTAATTAAAGCCTCTTAGTGCTTCTCCAGAGAACAGAGGAATGTAGAAGTTCCTGACACTGGCCATCTGTGAGGGCAGAGATAAGGAAGAGAACAAGCGGAGACCTCCACTAGGTGGAGAAAATCACTGGCCGGTGCCTGTGAGATAAACTTTGTTTGTAAACTGGGCCAAATGGCCCCAATCCTTCTCCTGAATAGCTCCTAACCTTTGACCAAAAGCCTGCAGCCCCTACTCCTCAGAACAGACACAGTATGAGTTAATCACCCTCCCATCTTTAACTGCAGTTATATCTCATATGGCAGGAAATTTCAAACTGACTTGAAGATCATATACTCCCCAGATATTTATGGCAGGGCTGACCGGACCTAAGGGTGCCCAGAACCAATTATTTTAAAAGTCAAATACTGCATCCAATCCTGAATTGCCAGGACTGCAACCCCTAAAAATTCCCGCACCTTTTCCTTTAAAAAACCCAAGGCCTTTGTCTCGCAGTGCCACTCTTTCCTGACCAGCAGGGGTGACCCCTTTGCAGGATGGTTAAAATAAACCTCTTGCAATTGTATCAATTTATCTAGTCTCCTAGATTCCCTTCATCTACTTCCTCCTGGAAATTAGGCTCTTGCTGGGCTTAACAATATCACCAGCTCAGAGCTACAGCTCTGTAGCAATAAATGAAAACATCAAGCAGGAAGGAAACCAGGGCTCTGAGGCACAGGCAACTGCAGGTTCACCCTAGGCTAGGCTGTGCCTTCAAGGGCAACTAATCTGACCTCAGCAGCCCTCCTCCATCCAAAAGCTACACATGCAAATCTGTCTGTTGTACAGGGGGGAGAAGTCAGCACACTGAATTCTATCTCTCCTCTGCCCTGGATGACCAGGCTACCTAAGGCAGTAACATTCTGAGGTAAGAGAAGTGACTTAGACTGATGATCTGAGTTGTCCCCCAACCCTGAAGACCCTGTCTTGGGGACAGGGAACTTTCTATGAAGGTTGTCAGGCTGCACTCTGTGTCCTACAGTAACAGCCAGCTATGGCTGGAGCACAGTGCAATATGCTAATTCATCTCCCTACATCCCTTGGCCCCACCACTCCAAGCAGCAGTGTAAGACCTGGGGTCTCACAGCTCAGGAGTTCAAGATCGCGCCCTTCCCAGAAACTCTCCCATACCAAGACTCGTTGCAAAAGCAAGAGGTTTATTAACCATTGTGCAATGGGGTCACCCCTGCCAGTCAGCAAAGAGGGGCGCCCAGAGACAAAGGCCTTTAGGTTTTTAAAAGAAAAATTGTGGGAGATTTGAAGTTGTAGTCTTGGCAATTTAGGATTGGATGAGGAAGCTATAAAGTAAGATAATTGGTTAGTTTTAGGTGCTCAAGCTTGGTCAGTCCTGCCAAGTGTGGATGCAGCTGCAATTTAAGGTGGGGGTGGTTAGCTCATCCTTGAAGATTAGGGGCTTCGGACTTTTGGCTGCAGGTCAAAAGCTACTCAGAACAAGTCTGGGTTCATTGCTAAGAAACACTATCTCAAAGACAAGGGTCTGGTCCTTTTTTTTGCTGAGTGAAGGTCATTGCTTTCTTGCCTTTTTTTATATCTGTCCTAACAGATAGGGTCACATTCCTCCATTCTCTGGAAAGGTACTAAGAGGCTTTAGCTTAACCTGAACCTAAAACTCAAAGTTACAGGCTTTAGAAGACATACAGGTTACAAAGCTAGTCTAACCCTTTCAGCAGCTTCCTTCCTGTGTTTCTTCAGGCACAATTCCTCCACTCCCATGGATGCCCCAGCCCCTCTGCCTTTCACTGCAAGCTCTCTGCAGTCAGACTCACCTACTGCTTCTGCAGGAACTGGCGAGGGGTCAAGGTCTTGTGCTTCTGCTTAACTATAAAGCAAAAATGCCTGCAATCCTCAAAGCCAGCAGGTCAGGAAGTTCTATGGGTGGAGCCAGTGAAGACACTGTTTGCTTTTAAAGAAACTTAAACACCATCCTGTAACTTAATGGGGGCTGTAGCTTTGTCAAGTTGAGGCCTTTTCTTTGTCTGTCTGCTATAATGTCAAGAACTTATAAATGTTTTTCCTGTTTTGTATTATTTTTTTGTTTTTGACATTACAGCCTTAATGTAGCCCAGGCTAGTCTTAAACTCACTATGTGTTGAGGGTGATCTTAATTCAAAGCTGAGACCCATGCCCCAGACTTGCCCATGCCTCAGACTCCTCTTAGCACAGCAGGAGTGGGCAGCTCCCTACCCAAATCAGGCCTAGGCCTACTCAACTCCATAGAGACCAAGGCCACCTCCTGTTAGAGTCAGTTAAGCTTCTGCATCCTGCCAAAGAACTGGCTTCTCAGAAACCACCTGACTGGCAGTCTGCTAATCTGACTGATAGGCTTGGAAAGCCCCAGCCCCAGCTATAGCACTTCCTCCTACATGCTTTGGTATTTGAACTGGTGAGTCAGTAGTAACACTGGCCTGTCTTCCACCAGGTCAACATATGTAAATTAGGTGCACTTCCTCCCTTGTTCCTTTGTCTCCCCTCCCTTGACTTGAGCTATATAAGCTAGCCTGCTTACTTCAGGAAGTGAGCTCTCTCTGGAAGCAGTGTCTGGGGTGCTCATACCTGCCACACTCACCACAGACCCTGCTCCCAGCCTCTCTGCATCCTGAGACTGCCCATGCACAATGGCTAACTGAGGTTGGGAGACTCACATCTGGCACTGGCACTGGGACCCTCTGGGACACTAGGAAGAGGGACAGTACTCCCCTCCAAGGAGCGTTACTGTTTGCCCTTGCATCCCCCTGGGGGTCAGCTGGTTCTTCCTCCTTTTTACTTTCCAACTATGAGGAAGGGGCAACTGACATCTTTTGGCTGGGGCTACTCCCTGGCATTGACTGAAGACCTTCAGTCCTCTAGTCAAACCCTGACAGCCCTTCAGACATCAGCAACAACCACCTCTCTAAATCTCTGAAAGAACCCAGTAAAGCAAGGACCAGTAAAGGCCATTAGAGCAGCCGCAGGTTTTCTTCAAATTTTGGGCAGGCTTGCATGCCAGTCTTGGTTGAATCTCCTGAAATTCCTGCAGTCCTGGAAATGTTTCCCCTTTGACTGAGCACTTGTTTCCATCCTTCTCTGTCATGGAAAATTTCACTTCTCACCAGGAGTCCCAAATTAGGGGTCTTCAGGCCCTCCTCAATCTGCAGGGGTTAAACTCTACCATAAACAATTATCTTCTGGAAAGAGGTCCTACAATTAGCTCCTTAGATGATCTCCAGCAACCCCTATGACACCCAGTTCTGGCGACTTACTTCTCACCAAGATGAGAAGTCCAAGAAGGCCTCCAACTCCTTCACTATCACTGCAGCCACATGCAAGGTGTGAGTACCTCTCAGACGGAAATTAAGGATGAAACCTCTTACTATCAGAAATGATTCTGACAAGGAGAGGCCCAAAGGTCACCCCATGGCAGACCTCACTGACCTTGAATGAGCTACTGAATATACTAGACAGAAAGTGACCCCTAACCTCCCCATACACACTCCTGTTTGCTCCCCACTGTTCTCTTATGCCCCTCCTGCCTCCTCCTCTAAGAACATGCATAAAATTCTTGAAAGCTCCATACCTTCACACCCCCATCCACTACCCAACAATTATTGGAGATTAGAAACTCCTTCAGACTTGTCCATTATGAAAATAAGGCCTTGTTACTCCCTGTTAATGTTCACCTTACTCATTCATGGCCCCTAGATTGATATCCCTATTAGGCCAATGATTTAAAAGAGCTTAGATAAGTGTTATGAGAAGGTGGTATTCATGACCCTTGGATCAAATCCATTTTTATGAGCCTTTGTGCCTCCCTTAATAAGTCACAGGTCTGGCATGACATCTGTCAATCCTTCTTGCCTAGGATTGTCCACTGTTCTTTCAGTGGGAGCCTTTATATAGGGATGAATGCCTCCAACAGAACAAAAACCCAGAATCAAAACCAACAAAATATCCTTTGGGGCTTTGATGAGTTTTTTTGGCTAAGGTGATTTCTGAACAGGAGCAGAACATGCTATGCAACCTCTGAAGTACTTTGATCAATTATACCTTTATGCTCTTCAGGCCAGGGATCTAATAACCTCCAAATCAAGACAGGCATTTCTTGATTCTCTTCTTCTGGCAGAAACCAGAAGAAGTCCTCTCTGACTTTGTTCTTAGAAAAAAAATGAGCCTAGAATGCATGCTGTGGGACCCTACTGTTAAGGTCAATGTCTGGCATTTATAGATAGCTGCTGAGCTTAGTATAAGACTATGAACTCCCTTTCTCGGTTGGGTTCTCTCTCCACCTGATCTGGAAAACCCTAGATCTTCTAGGGAGTGTGACATAGCCTTTAGGGAGATTGCATGCCCAACCTTTTATTTATATATATATATGAAACCAATTCAGCAAGTACCTGGGGATTCCTGGATACATCTGCCCTATGCTAATGAGATGTCTTGGTGTCTTGGCCTTCAACTAGTGACCTTTAACTGTACCTGGAATTTTTACCCCACCCATAGGATAATTAAGTATTGCTTTCTCCCTCTAACGAAAGGTCTGTTTTGTCACATGTAAATCAAATATTCCTAGCATCTTAGCCCCAGCAAATAAAAAAAAATTCACCTTTAAAGCTCCTTCCACTGCCCACGGGCTATAAGTCACTGATTCATGCAATAAACTCTCTCTCTCATTCCATTTCTCTACCATGACCATCTGAGACTCACCATTTATTCTGGGGAAGGAAAGGCTCCCTGAAGAAATGCTGCTGAACACTGTGACCTTGGCTTCCAATCAGGCAGCCATCCACCTGGATGCTGTGAGCTTCTGAACCAGCTGGTTTGACTGCCTGTCAGTCATCCGCATGCTCGTGTTCCGCTGTTCCGAAGGTTCCGCTGTTCCGAAGGTTCCGCTGTTCGATGGCTCCGCTGTTCACCAGTGTGCGGAACTGCATCAGCAGCCCTTGAAGCCACCCCATCCCTTAAGCTCCGTGCTCACCAGACCTGCATCCCACCGGAACTCCATCAAGCTGGACCTGTCTTCCAGTCAGGTTCTGGCTTTCCCCTGCACCCCTTCTGCTGATACCGGGGCTTAACTAAAGGACTGTAACACCGCAGTATCACCAGAGGCTTCTGTACGCCTGAGTTTCCACTGCTGTCTGGTACCAGCAATCTTATTTTAAAAGAGCCAACAGTAACACCCAGTGGAAAACTTGTTTCCACCTCCCCCGGTGAGACCAGGAGCCTGGCCAAGTGCACAGGCCTCACCCTGAGTGCTCTAGACATTCCTGAGAGAAAGAAAACTTTTGACTTCAGGGGTTCCTCTGCTCCTGTACTGACGTAAACAGAGCCTGGACTGGCCTTCAGTTTCCTGCATGGCAGCCCAGCACTGGGAAATGCAGTATGATAGTCAGGCCCCAGGAGAGGCCAGGCTACCACTAGACTCAGAACCACACAAAATGCCTGATTTTATGGCTAGACAAATCTTCCATAAAAGCATAATTAGAGAAGGCGTGACCTTGGAACACTGGCTGGTATGTCAGGGTTTAAATAAATGGACATCATGAGGAATAGATAGTTGCCATTCAAGATATTGGGATGCTTTCCGGAAAGGCCAGTTCCCTTGCCCAGGCCTTTGCAATGGCCAGTAAAACAAAAGGAAAATGTTTTAAATGCAAAAAGGAGGAATGCTGGAAGGCCAAATGTCCTCACTCCAGCTCATCTAAGGGCTTGAAAGCTGTCCCTCCTAAAACCATCTGAGCCTGATGGTATAAGGGATTCCACTGGAAAAAGAATTGCCTTTCTATATTCAATAAAGGTGGTAAGCTGTTGTTTTTAACTAAATTTTAGTTATTCGGTTTTACCAATGAAGACACTGGAGCCAGATGCTGAGATGAAAGCCTGCTAGCTCAGAGAGGCAGAGAAAGCACCCAGCTGATCTTCAGCTGATTACTTCCAAAGGAGAAAAAGCCTTCTTCCCCACAGCATCTCCCAAACCCCCTCAATATAAATGTTCTCTCCCATCTACCCCCTGTGCCTTTCTCTATCCTTCCTCCTGACTTTCTCTTACTCTGTATGTTTTTTTCTATTTTTACTTCTTGTCAACTGGCGGCTTGCTCTGTCTCTTGACCTAAGGTTAATTTTATTTAATCCTGTTTCCAATACTCAAGCAGAAAGCTATTGGATTAAACATGTGTGCTAGGGCTGAGCTACACCACAGCTAGAAACAGGGTTTTCCAATAGACAACACAATGTTGGGGGTCACAGAATGATCAAATACCCTACAACATTTCCCCCTTTTCTTTTCTTTCTTTTTTTTTACATTCAAATTAATTACAGATTTTATTTATTTTTTATTTTTTTATTCTTTTTTTAATTTTTCTTATTAGTTTGTTAACTCTGTATCCCATCTGTATCTCTCTCCCTCATTCCCTCCCCAACCCCACCATCCCTCCCTCATCTCCTCCCTGCCTCTTTCCAAGTCCACTTGTAGGGAAGTACCTCCTCCCCTTTCATCTGTCCCTCTTTTATCAGGTATCTTCAAGACTGGCTGCAACGTTCTCTTCTGTGGCCTAACCAGACTGTTCCTCCCTTGGTGGAGAGGTCAAAGAGCCTACCCTTGAGTTCCTGTTAGAAATAGTCCTTGTTCCCCTTACTATGGGAAATCAATTGGTTACTGAGCTACCATGGGCTACATCAGAGCAGAGGTTCTAGGTTAAATCCATTCATGGTCCTTGGTTGAGTGTCAGTCTCAGAAAAGACCCTGTGCCCGGATATATTTGGTCCTTGTGGAGCGACTATCCTTTCCACCTCATAGTAACTCTCCTTCTTTCATATGATTCCCTGTACTCTGCAGAAGGTTTGGTTATGAGTCTTAGTA